TACCCTTGACGGCTATCGCGGTGTCATCTGCGAACAGGAAGAACACGCAATCGTCTCCTAGAGGAGGGATGTCCGACGTGTAGATGCTGTAAAGCAGTGGTCCCAGCAGACTCCCTTGCGGAGCACCTGCTGGGATCGGAAATTGTCCCGAAAGGGAACTATCAACGACACCCTGAATGACCTTTGCTGGAGGTAGTTACGGGTGATTTTCACAAGGTATGGTGGAAAGTTGGAGTTACAAAGCTTGTATATAAGTCCGTCGTGCCAGACATTGTCAAACGCCTTTTCGACGTCTAACAAGGCCATGGCTGTGAACTTGGATACAGCTTTGTTACTTCGGATGTTATTCATCACCCGCACTAGCTGATGATTGGTGAAATGCCCCTTGCGGAACCCGAACTGTTCCGGAAGAAGAATGTCATGTTCCTCCACAAACTTGTTCAGTCGGCTGAGGATCAATTTTTCGAACAGCTTGCTCAGCGCTGAGAGCAGGCTAATCGGTCTGTAGCTTGACGGTAGTGAAGGGTCTTTCCCAGGTTGCTTGGAAAGTAGTGCAGCTCCAAGCATCTATTGAGGATGGCAGCCAGCAGCGAGTGCACCCTCGAGCTGAGATTTTTCAACGCTAGGTTGAATATTCCGTCAAACCCGGGAGCCTTCATGTTCTTACTGTATTTCAGCGCTGAGCAAATTTGTTCCTCTGTAATCCGTTCTTCTGGAGGGACGGCACAAGGGGAGGCATCTAACGTCTGGACGCACTGCGCAACCTGGTTCTCGAGTGGACTTGGGATTGTGGAGCCAAGCAAATGCGACTGGGCAATGTGCTCCCCAATCGCATTGGCCTTCTCTTCGTTGGTGATAAGCCGTTCGTCATTGACTCTAATGGGCTTGGGGTGAGACTTCAGCGCCTTGGCAACCTACCAGAATGGTCTGGAACGGTTGTCCAGGTTTTGAACGAGCCGCCCGAAACTCTCGTTCCGGATATGAGTTGAGGCTAGACAGTAGCGCTCTTTTATATCTTTGCAGGTTAAAGCAGAATGATGTGCAACCAAGTGGTACTCGATTATGACGACTGAGTTAGGGAAGAACGTTTATTTCATGAAAACAGTGATAAAATTATCACTTTTTATTTGTTTATTGGATCATGCTTGACATTACCACTTTTTCAATAGTTTCTTGTTGGAAATCATCAGTCATTGCTATTGATACGTAGAAATATTTTTGATTGATTGGTGATAAAATTATTGAAATTGGTCCAGGGGCAGCTGAGTTAATAATGTTCAAAATCTTTCATAGTTTTGTTACATGTTCCATTTTCGGTTTTCACAAAAAGTACCCCCATATAGAAATCACAGACGTAATCCTACGTCAATATGAGCAAATACACAAACCTTTCTTTTGAGGATGTAATCTTTGCTATTAAATTCGTTCGAAGCATTTACCTTTGAGCGGCAGATGACGCGATTGTACCTGTCTCATATCGTTCGTATGAGAAAATGGAGGAGTTGCCAGTCTTCTTAATTTGTTGTTTTTGCTATAAGGAACAACTTTGTAGAAAGCACTTTTTGTCTAAAATTTCAATTTTAGGCTCAAAACGTATCCTTCCACCTAAATCTAGTGGTCAAAGTGGCCCTGGAAACTTATTAGCTCAACGATATTGTTTTGCGAAAGCATAAACTTTCATATCGATTTTTAAAGCAAAATAATAACTTACCTACCTGGCGATTTGTTAGTGTCACTCCCATATGAAGTCCAGCAGAGGGGCGCTAAGATGGTGATTCTTGCTAATGTAATTGCACTTATTTAAAATATTTCCAGTGTACCAAAATTGATGAAATCTTCGATTTCGGCTCCATTTTTAATGCAGATTACGAACATGCATTTTCCTCAATACTCTTAAAGAACTCAATTGCCATTTATCATTGAAATAATTTCTCATAATTCACATCACAAAAGTTAGATCACAAGGAATTCGCCTCACACTTACCTATCAACAATCCAGAAAATCTAAGGCAATTCAAAATTCTGAAGTAATTGAGAATTCTAAGGTAGCTCAGAATTCAAAAATAGGGGAAATGGATGTAATATCGGCCTAAATGCCTCTAATTTGGGCTCATACATAGATTCAGCAATCGGCTAAATTTTCAATAGCGACCAAAAATATCCATTAGTACCGTCCCAATGACGCGTTCATCTAGATAAAAATAATAAATAGCAGATTTTTAGCAATGGGCCCAATCTTAGATTCATCGGTCAACATTAGAGCCATTTCCCGTACTTAAAAGAAAGCTATGAATGATCAAATGCCTTTTAAATTCTCCTTTAAAAGCCTTAAGAATTATCCTCAATAATCTTACGAACAAACTTCAAAGTGTCAGGATCCCAAAAATGTGTCTAGATTCTAAATCCTCGCTAATTTTCCAAAGGTTTATTTTTTTCTTTTAAATCCCAAACATTTTTTTGATTTCTCGTTGTTTCAAAATTTTAGAAATTTCTCCATGTTGTATTATTTTTTTTTTTTCAAAATCCAGGATTCCGAAAAATAATTTATGAATGACTATAATATGTCTCAATTTTCATGATTCTGCAACCCATTAAATGTTTTTTTTTAAATATTAGGTATCGAAATACTGTCGGGAGCTCAGACTTCAAAAAATATCCAAATTCTAAAATTTTGAAAATTAGTTGCGACCTTGGAGCTTAACAAATTTTCATGGTAGATGAACTAACAAATACTATTCCAATGCCATAAATTTATTTTGTTAATGAATTAATTTCGATTATAAATTGAGTTTAAAGTAAAATGTTCAAACATCTAGATAGAGCTGGAATTAGGGCGTAAAGGCCGGCGCACATTGGATACGTTTTCAGGTTTTTTGACAGTTAGCCCATCTGTCAAAAAACCCGAAAACGTATGCAATGTGCGCCGGCCTTAACAGCCTTTGTAAACAATGACTTCTCTCGTTGATTTCTCGGAATTCAAGGCACGCCTACACAAACCAATATATCCGTCGCGTAGGAGAAGTCTTCCTCTACTCGATGGTGATGTTGATTTGCCAGGGAGAGCCATGGCTTCCGAGAAATCATAGAGAGAAGTCATTTTTTACAAAAATTGTTACGCCCTAATTCCAGCTCTATCTAGACATATGCTTGAAAAATGTGTTTTATAATTCCAAACGTTATTGCCGATTTACACTATATTTTTCATGGTGAATCGTTGCAAAGTTAGATCACAATGATGACCAAACTAACGTACAGCTACCACAAAGGTGCTGGAATTAGGCTGTGCAAGCAGTACGATTGTTGTTCACCTTATCCATGGCGTCACCTCTTCGGTCATCGCTCGTGATTATTCTCAGCGAGCAACGTTTCGTTAAATTCCTTCATCGAACGTCACCGTTCAAACAATCCACATGATAAATTGCTGCCTTTCCGGAAGAATAACAATCCACTGGTGGTCGTAGCAATTCTCTTCAGGAAGGTTAACTACAAGCTAGACGTCCTTTTAGCTGCCATAAACCTTCTCCCGATGGAGGTAGAACTGAGCGCACATTGATTTGCGTTGAAAGTCAATATAGCTGTTTACTCCGTTCCCCCAATGGCTTTTCCGTTGATCAACGATCCATAACGGAGATGTCACACCTCAATGAAGCGCTTCTGACGCTGTTGACCTATCAAAGGGTACCAAGTTGAAACTGAACACATTTGCAGTGTAGACAATAAGTAAATAACAATCACATGAAAGCCGGGTAACGCGTCGCGTCGCTTCAAGAACGGCGCAACGCTGCTCTGTTTCAAGACCGCGACCACATGGAACTCGTTTATTCCGTGCGTATCCGGCGGTGCCGCACTCCTTTTACGGACATCCATGTCAAGGTGGTTTCCCTTGATCGTCTTGTAGCTATGATGTTTGCATTGTTAATCCGACGAATGTTTGCATGTACAATCTTAAATATTCAAACATTGTTTCAAAAGCAAATGATTGTGTTCGACCTTTTCTGGCCGATCGTCTGGTGAAAGCGTTCCATAGCGACAAAGAGTCAATGGAGGAATACTTAATTAATTAAGGTAATATGAGCTGTCACCCTTTGGGGGGTAAAAATTGTCACGCAATCCAGGGTTGTTCCATATGCAAATTTTGTGTGAGGTGAATCATTGCCTCTCAAGGTAACTTGCTTACTATTTGCAAGCAACATAGTAAGGAAACTCAATACAGCGACATTAACATTGCCTTCAACCAACTATTGCTTCAAGGTTGTGTTCCAAATAATTGGTCCGTGAACCCATCTGCCAAACTAAATTCATTGTAATGGCTAAACCGCAAATTTTGTAAATGATATCCTGCTACGATGACCGAATCTACTTGTTCCATGTTACAGTGACAGATTTGGGCCATTTTCTTCGGCTTGTTCGCCGGCCTGAAACATTATATTAATCACCGCCTTCGCTTTCAGACACTTGACCCCCTTGCTTCGTCTATCCTCAACACCGTTCGATAGTTACAACTACTACGTCTCATTCATGAGAACAAGAAACTTGGGTATGTACAGCAGCAGAGGAGCGCCACCTTTTCGCGTGTTTACATTATTATTGTTATTGAGACGAGCACATGCACACAGTAGGCGGGTGGCAGATTAAAAATAGCGATTCCGTCCACGCTGACATCACTTTCGTTGCTCGGAACGACCATTCGGCTTGCAAAGTGCTACTCTTTTCGGCTCAATATTTGGGTCAAGAAAACCTAGAATCTCGCTGGATTCCATTTTTGATGAAGATTTTTTCAACGGACTTTTTCGAAGCTGATTCACCAAAAACTCAGAAAAAAAAGTACTAATTGAAATGTAGTGTCCTGATTCTGATAAAGCTTCCATTGATAAGCCATCTGTCACCCTCAAGGAATTCATTGATAAGACACTTGTCCATTATACAACGCCAATTCCGGAGAACACACATCATTCTACCATGCAAGATAGTCATCACATCACAAACATACACACACACACCTTCTTTTTTCTGTCGAGTTTTGGACGGTGCACTCTACTATTAAAAAACCGGAAGGGTTTGCTGGGAAAGAGGGGAGGTCAAGCGACCGGAACGAAACGATAAAATTGCGGAATACACACCCGAACCGATGCACTGGTCAACTGAGACTGACTGACTCAACCCACGGTGTGACTAAATATTGTCTGACTATATCCAAGTAAGCAAGCGAAGTGATTTACGTTGGTGAGTTCACCGACAACGGCGACCGACGATGCAATGGAGATGTTGCACGCCTATCAATATATAAAACATCTCCACTACTGCTGGGTTGCGTTTGGATGCTACTGGTGGTTTTACTGAATGCTTCCACTAACAAACTACACCAGCAAGTCGAAGTGAAGTCGTTAAAATAGCGTACAAGCTACATATTTCATCACTGTCTCAAGCTACAAAAGAAAATGTGTAGGTGTTAGTGAATGACATCGACCATGCAACGTGCGTCGGTGGGTCAGACATGTTGCACGATTGCTGGGATTGGTTTGTTTTTTTGTTCGTTTGTTTTGTAAATAGGGTTGGATCACTTTCACTGGAATCACGACGATCACCGATAGCATGATTTCACCAAACCCACCAGCAGGAGAATCACCAGAACGCATTAGCAGCTTTTGCAGAAACAAATAAACACCCACATTGTTCCCACACTCGATACTAACCAAGAACTAACTTCGTAGCATAAGTTGAATTTGTAAATTAGTCTTAACCGATCACTGAATAAAAGTGGAGCATAGCTCCAAGAATATATTTTTTTTGAACTTCCTTATAGGGAAATCCTTAACTGGCGCCCGAATAAGGACCCGTTGTAGTGCAAGTACAAACCAAGTGTTTAGTGTTTTAGAGATAAACTTAGTAGATTCACAGCGTTAGAGCCAAGTGGACACTAAGTCGAAACAAATATCACACCAGAAAGAGGTGAATCGTTAGTGATTATCACACTCCTGCACTTAGTTTGGAAACTCATCCGGATCGCATCAGCAGCCGCACGAAAAGGCACCTATTAACCAGGACAGCTAATCACTCGCTCCTGGCAAAAAGGACATCGCCGCCGTGCTGAGAAGGAGAGAAGACATTCATCGGGCCCCGACCCAACGCATCTCTACTGCACCCGGCAGAGTTGGGATTTAGGATTCGATAACCACCTGGACAAGCGCCCCCACGGATCCCGCAATCTTCTGGTGTCCCCAGAAGATGTCCAGATTTATATTGTAAGTATTAACTAATGAAATCTTAATAACAGCATAGAAAGAAATAAAGTGAAATATAGTGAAATAGTGAAGTGTAGACATACGAGTATTGAAAGAAACTAAGTGAAGAAAAAGTGTATCCATAATCAAATAAAAAAAAACTAACTACGAAACATCCACAAATTTTCAATCTTAGGATTATATAACATTTTATTATTTAAGTGACCGTACAATATATATTTTGGCGTAGAACTACGTCTTTGTCGACTACCCAACAAACAATTGAGAGCTCTTATAAAACACCTGAGTTGATCAAACGTTGAATAATAGCTTCCAGAGTTGAACAAGAATGTAGTTGTATTGCCTTTTTGGTTAAAAGTTTTAAAAGCTGTTGGAGCACTCTTAAATGATTGTTTACGTTCGGTTTAACTATATGCTTTATAAGACCTACGATAACTTTTATAGCACCTTAGTTAAACTGATTGACAAGAGCTATATAGAACGTGAAATAAACGCATCAAAACAAAGCATTGGGAGCTCTTATACAACACCTGAGTTGATCAAACGTTAAATAATAGCTTCCAGAGTTGTACAAGAATGTAGTTGTATTGCCATTTGGTTAAAAGCTTCAAAAACTGCTTGGAGCACTCTTAAATGATTGTTTACGTTCGGTTAAACTGTTTGACAGGAGCCATATAGGATGTGGCATAAACGCATCAAAACAAACCTTAAACTGTTTGGCAGGAGCCATATAGGATGTGGAATAAACGCATCAAAACAAACCATTGGGAGCTCTTATAAAACACCTGAGTTGATCAAACGTTGAATAATAGCTTCCAGAGTTGTACAAGAATGTAGTTGTATTGCCTTTTTGGTTGAACGCTTCAAAAGCTGCTTGGAGCACTCTTAAATGATTGTTTACGTTCGGTTAAACTGTTTGACAGGAGCCATGTAGGATGTGAAATAAACGCATCAAAACAAACCATTGGGAGCTCTTATACAACACCTGAGTTGATCAAACGTTGAATAATAGCTTCCAGAGTTGTACAAGAATGTAGTTGTATTGCCATTTGGTTAAAAGCTTCAAAAACTGCTTGGAGCACTCTTAAATGATTGTTTACGTTCGACCAACCACAATTTTGTTGCTAAAAATAGCACAAGTGATAGGCATGTTTATATAACCATAAGGCCATATATACTGGCGTGCAAATCAAAAAATATGTGTGGTGAAGGAGTGTAAGATTTTGAACGCTTGTAACTTTGTCATTTATAGATGAAATTTAAATCCAAATACGCCAATCGATAGGATATTACATTACAAACCTACTGAAATAAATATTTTTTTCCAATTTTTCTGTAATTAAACTATTAAAAATGTACAAATGATAATTTTATCACTGTTTTCATGAAATAAGCCTTTTTACCAAACCCAGCCATCATAAACGAATACCACTTGGTTGCACATCACTCTGCTTGAACATGAAAAGATATAAATGAGCGCTACTCTCCTGCCACAGCTCATTCTTTGCTCGACTGTCATGCTGTTCAGTCCGTATTTTCGTTCGAGTTCTCGATTCGATTTTGTTTCGTTTTGTGCTGTCGCGTTGCGCCGTGGAAGTGTCGCCACCTTCTCGCGTTCTGGCAAGTTTAATTGAACTTGCAAACACGAAACAAATGGTGCGTAAACGTGCCAATGAGCCAGCAGCGGACCCTTCAAAGAAGGTGCTAATGAAGCCCAGCGCGTCGCAGGATGACGCCGGAAAACGAGTACTGCAAGCCAACCAGTATGCAGTACTCCCGGAAGAAAATGGCGATGGTGACGCTGTTCCCATTGCAAGACGAGAGCGGATTCCCTCGCTTTTCACGCCGGTGAAGGATGTTGCCAAGCTGGATGTCGAACTGGCAAAACACAAGCTGCTGCCTCGCTTCAAGCTTTGCAGCATCGGTACAAAAATCATGTGCTCCAGCTTGGAGGAGTACAAACAAATAGGAAGTTTCCTGAAGAACAACAACGTGGACTTCTTCACGCATGATCTGCCATCGAGCAAGCCACTGAAGGTGGTTTTGCGTGGATTACCGTCGTTCGAGGCTGCTGCGGTGAAGTCCTAGCTGGAGCGGCTTGGGCTCCAACCTGAGGCCGTGTTCCAGAGGTCCCTTGCGTCCCAACCAAAACACCAGCTTCCGTGATCAGATGTTCCTGGTGCATTTCACCAGTCTTGCGGCTCTGAGATCCAAAATCCGGGACCTGTTTCAGGTCATCATCAGTTGGGAGCATTACAAACCCCAACATCGTGATGTAACGCAGTGTATGAACTGCCTCTCATATGGCCATGGCACCAAAAACTGCCACATGAAGACAAGGAGGTCGACATTGCTATCATCACCGAGACGCATCTGAAGCCCGAACTGAACGTATTCCTTCCCGACTTCCGGCTCGTCAGACTTGATCGCACCTGCTCTGGAGGTGGAGGAGTGGCCATCGCTGCAAGACGGAACATCAGTTGCCGGCTGCTACCAAACTTCCAGCTGAAAACAATTGAAGCCATCGGAGTGGAGGTGTGCACATCACTTGGCCCAATCACCATCATCGCGGCCTACTGCCCCAAGCAAACCAACATCAGGGACGGGTCGTCAGTGGCCCTCCGCAAAGACATCATCAAGCTCACCCGGAGGAGCGGGAACTTTATCATCGCTGGCGATCTGAACGCAAAACATCAAGCTTGGGGCAACGGTCGGAGCAATAGAAACGGCATCATCCTCAATGAAGACCTGCAAGAGGGCCACTATACCATCTTGGCCCCGGACTCTCCCACCCGGTTGAGTCGGTCTGGGGTCCATGCGACCATCGACATCTTCGTAAGCAACATGGTACACAACGTCTCGCAACCTGTGGCATTCCAGGAGCTGAGCTCGGACCACTACCCGGTGGTGGCCGAAGTTGGATCCTCGGTAAACCGATTCGAAGCTTCCCGACGCAACTACCATCGAGTCAACTGGGCGCAATATCAACACTGCGTCGACACAACCATCGACTACGATGTCCAACCGGGGACGTTGGAAGATGTTGACCGGTGTCTACAAACCATCGAGGAGGCGATTTCCCGGGCCAGGGAACAACACGTGCCAGTATCCAGACAGGTGAGTAACACTCTGAACCTTGACAGCCCTACCAAAGATCTCATAAGACTCCGTAACACCATTCGTAGGCAGTACCAGCGTACTGGCCTGCCTAACTTGAAGACCAATTGTAATCGATTAACAAAGATCATTCAGGCCAGGATGGTGGATCTCAGAAATAACGATTTTGCTAGTAAGATCCGCTCTCTCCCAGAATGTGCTAAGCCCTTCTGGAAACTTACAAAAATTCTTAAAAACAAGCCTAGGCCCATTCCCCCACTGACCCCACTGGATCGTCCCGGCGACCCAGTGGTTCATCTGATAACTCCTGAAGAGAAGGCTGCCGCGATAGGTCAACACTTCGTCAGCTCCCATAATCTCGGTCAAAACATCGTCAGCCGTCATGAATCTGAGGTTGCTGAAAATGCAACCGATCTTCTTCAGATTCCTAACATTTTTCCAGAGGAATCCGAGATTACGGCTGACGAACTGTTGGCCTATATCAAATCATCTAAAAACATGAAGGCCCTAGGTTTCGACAACATCCTGAATCTGGAACTCAAGCACTTGAGTTCCAGATTCTACAACCATCTGGCACTGATTTTTAATCAGTGCCTCAGACTTGGCTACTTCCCCTCGTGTTGGAAGTCAGCTAAAGTCATACCCATCCGGAAACCTGGGAAGGATCCGTCCTCTCCTTCAAGTTATCGACCAATCAGCCTTCTCTCAGGGTTATCAAAACTGTTCGAAAGAGCACTGTACCACCGGCTCCTAACATCTGCCGATGAAAACAACTTGTTACTCGAGGAACAGTTTG